CCGTCGTCACACAAATTTCATCGACAGTGCTCATGCACAGCTATTAGCAATATGAATCTAACCATTACAAGAGGAAAGAAAATCGAACATGTGGCATTAATACGCAGTCCTGGTTCCTAACCATCTGATAGGCAGATGGTGTAAAGCGGATTCTCCAGCTGAAATGAAGGGGCACATCATTTAAAACCTTGTTTGCATTCTAACTGATATCAGTGCCATATTGATATACATGATACATCATGGCAGTATTTGAACAATCTAGTTTGTTTCAGTCATAAATGTTTACAGCCTTGTTTTTTATCTTTAGAAGCATGTTCTGAAGAGCGTATTTTTAATTTATGAAACCTATTGTTTACTTCTGTTGAACCAGAAGATTAGCGAAGAGCAGGAATATTAAATTACCACAACCACAGCAGTATAACTAAGATGGATGAATAAAGTATGTTTTTTCAATAAAAGATGTTAGTAAAGGAATTAAAAAATTAGCCTAGACATTTTATGCATTAAATACATTTATTCATTTAAACCTTACAGCTTTTTTCCCATGTGACATACTTAGAACTTTAATGCTTTATAAAGCTATTCATTTAAATCTTTTACTGCGTGCAATTAATCTTGTCCAACAATTTAATTCAAAAAGCAAAACATCAGAAAGTAAAGTTCAATTCAACCATCAGGCTTCTGAAGTAATCTCCGTATTGCTGACAGTTCCTATAGACTCATCAGCAGAAGTCTGTTCAAGGTGTCTTGTAGGAGCTGTACGAATTTGAATTACAGCTCAATTGAAAGCTCTCCAAGCCTTAGTAGGAACTCAGGAACAAGAAGCAGAACACCAAAAGAAAGCGTGAATGATCCTTCCCTACAAAGACCTTCTCTCTTCTGTCACTAGATTACTTTGGCCTGTTGGGTGTGTTTGTAGCTGTTAATTATGTTAATAAAGTTGCAGCCTGCTGCCTCTGCCAAATATAATCATAAGCTTTCTCCTGCCAAGTTCTAGTCTAATTTACACCCGTGCAACTCTACTGAAGTCAGAATTTCGTGGGTGAGAATGAGACCAGAAGTATGCCCAGTATGTGTGGTCTCTAATGCTGAAAAATGAGTGAATGAAACAGAAAACAATGACAAAAACCATAGCATCTTCAAGAAACAATTCTGTTTTAAAAGCAAAATGCCTGAGAGAGCTGTCATATATCATGCCAGATTTTCAAAATGTGTACAAATTACTGGTGGGCACTAAATCACATCCAGGGTTTCTGCCTTCCAACAAATACTATTCCCTGCCTTAAGAGAGAGCTCTTAGAACTTTCAGTTTTCATGGTAAGAGCAGCTTACAACACACCCTATTTGTGAAGGAAAAAAGAAAAGGACCTATGAGCATAACTTTTTCAGCCTCAAACATGTCTCAAAATACACATTTTTGAATTGTATGCCTAAACTTGGTCCTGAAACAACTTACAGAATTATTTAAGTAAGTAATTGATCTTAATTCACTTTTCACTTCCTTCACATAACTATGCCTAATAGTAATTATAATTCCTAATAGTTATTCCAATAAATAATTAAAAATGTCCTTTATAACTATTACCTTCCATTATATATACCATATATATACATAATCATGGGTACATAAAAAATCCAGTAATATATATGCATATTTTCACAACCTCTTTCTTGAGGACTTTGAGAACATTTTCAAGATACCTTACCTTTGCCATAACAGTACAGGCAGAAAACCAAAATATGACTGTCAGCATTGTGTTACCTTTAATTTCATTTATTTGCTGGAAAGTTCATTCTGCAGAAATGCTTTATTCAGTGCATGGGAGGAGGTCCAAATCTCATCTAAATTCTGAAAGAACTCCTTTCATTATTTCAAATTAATGCTTAATCCTTTTTCCTATAGTTTATTTCAGTAGTACTGACTTGAAAATAATTCATGTCTTTTCCTGACTTAATTCCAGATTTCATATTGAGGTTCTTACTTGGGCAAAACTCTTACTAAAATCTGAAAAAA